TTCAGTATAAATTTATTTCCATTAAATAAGTTATCTTTGCTTTTTCTTGTATTTCTGGAAATGTGGATCGTGGTAGCAAAAGACTCATCCACATAATACAAGATGTAATTTCTTTATTACCTTTCCTAATTACTACTCACTGTCTTCCCTCAGAAAGATACTATTGAATTGAATTCCATGATTATTTAATTTGTTCAAACGCAATTTTCTATCAATGCAATCGTAGGTTTTACTTAAATCTAAGAACATACTTAATGCTAAATTTTTATTTTCAAGTTGGTCTAACATCATATTGGTAAACTAAAAAATATCTGATGTAGTTCTCGGTCCCCTTAGATATTCGTACTAATGATTATTTCAGAGATTACAACCCTGCATAAAACCATCAATCGGACACAAAATTATTTGGTAAATTTTTTAACTTCGTTAAGATAGGGCCTTTGCCAATGTATTATTATTACAACAATTCAACTAACCACCTTTTTTATGATGACCTAAAATACTTTAATGGGAAATTTTGATTTCCTTGTTTGTTTGGCTTGTCTAACTTATATAGTTTTATTGCTTCGTGAGCTCGTGCTACCTGTTGGACAGCTAATTCAAATTAAATTATACTAACCAACATTAATGGAAAATCTGCAAAATTGCAATCATGCAAAAAAGAAAATTCTAGAACAACAATACCAACAGAATGAATTTTTGGAGTTCTTAAAGGCAAAATAAAGTCTATTTTGCAAAACACAATTATCAATATTAGCCCCAGATTTGTAGACAGCTATTTCAATTTTCCTTAACATGGACAGTTATTTCAATTGAGATCGGATTATATATTTTTCAAATATGTATCTCAGTTAATTATCGAGCGTCATCAAGTGCCATCAACCATTGAAAATACCTGAAGCTCGTAAACCACTGCTGCATAACATAAATTATTGAAAAATAATGAAAAATCACCAACTTACTTATCAAAACTGCAAGGGCATTATGTTTGTGAGAGTTAGTTTATTTATTCTAGTAGATCCAAAATAGAGGTCTTCTAATTATAAGCTATGCATTCACTCACCACATTGTGCCACAATAAATGGAAAAGTAAGGAATTAATTTAAACAGGTGCATCGAATAACGGCCCCAAGATCCTAAACACTTCTACCGACCCATTGTTCATTAACCAAACGGAAACATTGGTGTTGCAATGGTTCATATCTCATAATTAAGGCTAAAATCTAATTTTTAAATGCCCATTTTTACTTTTTGTTGAACTCGCTGTGCTTTTGTTGGATAGGAAGCACGTTTTGCTGGCCAAGATAAGTCGATCCGAATTAGTCTAATACTTCCTCCAAAGGTTTGCTTAGACCGTCCTGTATCGCGACGTCGTCACAACGCGCGTACGAAAATAGCACGCGCAGACAAAAAGAAGAGTAAAACCTGCAATCAACGCATCACTCATTGCGGCGCTTAACCGGTACTCCGGTAACTTTTTGCGGACCTTTCTTATTGAGTTTATTATTAAACGCAATTCGCGACCATATACGAGGTATATTTGGATCTGAACGCCGGGTTAATGTCCTCCCGTTAGCCTGCTGGCCTTGAACAGGGTCTACAGGACGACCACGAGACGAAACCAGCATCCTTAGCGAATCTCTAAGCACATTTGTTCTTAAATAAAGTTTTTGATTGCTTGGTCTGCGCCTTTCCGACACCCATAACTAGCATAAACTCTAGTACTGATCTCCTTTTTGATTTATGATGAATTTGATTTATGAGATTTCTCTCACTTCGACGTCAAGCACATCATTTGCATATTAACGTATAACTTGAAGTTAACCCTTAACTTACGGAGTAGGGCATCCAAATGCAACGTCGCGATAAGTGAAGATTTGTTTGTAGTTACTGCACAATTTACACTAGAATCCCTCTGGGGTATAGATAGTATTATTATTATTGCCCCTTTATCTCTCTGACCTGATCTACTTGTTAGTGAGCTTCATTCTTATAGTTATTTCGTAAATAACTATTAACTTTCGCGTGATCAGGATTCCCGCAAATAAAAAAAGGCCTAACTTAATAATTAAAGAAATTCTATAATACATAAACACAGGTATGAAACGAAAGAAGAGTATACTATGCAACAAGTGCGGTAAACGGAATTTGACTCACGAGTTTATTTGACACGAGCGGAGGGACTGTTTAATAAACGAGTGACTTAAAAAGTTTACCGAACGTATTGCATACTATATGTTTTCTATGACCGTCAGTTTTTGGTTACATTTTCTAAGTAATACAAATACGTTCACGGACATGACCGTCAGAATTGACACACGTAAAATATCTCCGAAAACATCCGATTGCTCCCAAACCCGTGCGATAAAATCTCGGAAATGTACGAAGTGGCTCGTATCCATGGGAAACGAAACTGAAGTAGTAAAGTGGCGCTTCCCGCACGTTAGATCAGTGTGTAATTCGGCATTTTACAGACAGGAGTAGAAAAAAGAACATAATGATACTCTATTAATAAGAGATAAGTCAAATTATTTTAACCATCAAATTAAATCGTCTGAAAGTCAAGAAATACCCCTTTAACCGAAAACTATTAAAAATTGGCAGATGATTATTTGTTTAACGTAGTCCCAGAGTTTCTTAAAAAACACACAGTTGGGCCATTTCATAGTAGTATTGTTGGAAATAATCAGTATCCGAAACTCACTACTAAGGAGGAACTTATAAGAATATCTAATAAATTAAAAATCAATACATCAGTGGAGAAGATGAGATTGCCGTCAGTACAGTTGGTGAAATTTTAGTTTTCACTATTAACAACTCCATTAAATTTGGAACTTTTCCTTATCAGTTTGCTAAAATCAACCACCTAAACAATAAGGCGGTACCATCGATTAAATAATTATACAGTTTTTCAATTTTTTTTGAAAAAATTATGTATTCAAGATTGATGGGCTTTATGCAGGGTTGTAATTTCCTCAGTGTTGATATCTAAGGGTACGTTCAATTAAGTCAGCTATTTTTCAGTTTGCCAAGGCGATTGTGTATGTTTCTACGATTGTATTGATACAAAAAAGCTTCCGTATAAATTAAATTCATATGGGATTCGAGATAATACCTATGTATGGATGCAATGGTATGTCTCGGATATAAGATATAGAGGAAGAGAATAAGGAAACTATCTCTTGTACTAGGGAAAATAATATTGGTATTGCACAAAGCTACAATTTTATTTATAATATAAATAAACGATATACCTGTGCCAAAAAACAATGTCTCCATAACGAATTATGCAGATAATACCAATCTTTTGATACCAGGTTGCATTACATTACATTAATAAATGTATACTAAATAAAAAAAAATAACGTAATTATTTTTCGAACTAGACAGAATAAACTAATTTCATCTGATAGCTTAAACTTTCAAGAAACTTCTTCAGATAGAGAAACAGAAACGAAATTCTTAGGTCGAACCAACGAAACGAATTTTTATCATGGGGAAAACGTTTTAAATCCTGTTTCTCTAAAGCTTAGAACTGTGGGATGTGGTATAAGAATAGTGGTCCTCATACCTGAATAGACTCTTCAAATCTTATACTAAGCTACCTTTAAATCAGTCATACTATGCTATGTTGGAGTCCTCTGTGACAGTAACTCTGAGGCATTGCGTATTATGATTATGAACTACTTTAGAGGTACGGAAAAAAAATTCTAACCTTTAAACTAACGCTAAAAAAAACGCTAAAGGCAAATAACAAAGCTAATGAATACGCGAAGAAAAATCTCAGTAAAATGTAATAAAAATTCATTTCCAAACAAGTTTTTCAAAAGGCTTGTGAATTTGTATTAAGTAAGTCAATACTACATCATAACATATCATAACTCATGGTAACTCAACGTCATAAGAGGAGAGTTGGAATTAAAGTTGTGAAAGTTGGGATCATGAAAGTTAGTCGTAGTGGAAGGGTATAAGGACTTAAGGACGTTAAAAAGAATGTGGTGGTCACAAAATTCCGAATCGAATAGGTTATTTACTGTCTTATAAACAAAGAAAAAATGTAAAAACACTGCCTTTTGGACTTCAGTGATTGAGAAAGTAATATGAATTCTGATTATAAGAGGGAAAGTGTCTTTATGTATTGAAAAGAAATTTAATAGCAACGTGTGGTAGCCTATATATGCTATATATGAGACTCGAACAACAGATTAGTGTCCAGAAGAACCCTTTAATCTTAAAAACGTTAACACGTTTTAATTGTATTTTGTTAAACTTTCCAATTGTCAGTCAGTTGAAATATTGAGGTCGTCAACGTACGATGAGTACGCACTGTGACAGCTCAGAAAACGAGTTCCTATATCATATAATAAAAATAAAACAAAGAGTCAATGACCCATGTATGAACCCCGTGCAACCCCAGAAGCGACATCCAAGCAACCAAACCTCATTTCATTAACATCAACAGACATGGCTCTATCTCGCAAATTATTTTTTGAAAGGTCTGCAATGTGGGGTAATGAACTTTGTCAAAGGCTTTAGAAATGTTTTATATTAAATTATTTGAAACAATGAAATGTACTTATAATAGTGTTGGGACTTGTCAATTGACCACTTCTTAATTGACGTGTTAAAGAATGTTTTAAATAAAATCTTACGATTGTAGAGAATTGTCTATGATTATATTATAATAACATGTATTTTGTAATAAATTATTACGCGTTTGTGATGTTCAATTTACTTCAAGGAATATCCGAATACGATAGAGTTTTGGTGTGAGGCTTATTTATAATCTTACTAAACCGTTATTTTTCTCGTTGTCATTTCATTTTGTGTATTGCTTACTTTGACGAGTACCTGTGATTTGAAATAAAGAAGTGTTTTTATTATTATTAAATATTAATTAATTATTATTAATTAATTTATTATTATAAAATATCAAATAAATGAAAATAGACGTATCGAAGCACCAAGTTCATTTTAACAGACGTTCTTTTGATTCGCAGATCGAGGAGGGTGACCGCGGGCACGACATGACCGCGGGATTCGACTCCAGCGGCGCGAATGCCAACGGGGATGCCACCAAACGCAACGAGGATGGCGTCTATACCGTGTCCGTCACGGGGGGCTACGAAAATGAGGGATTCAAGGGCGAGGGAGACCTGGGGCCCCCGATCAAGCCTCCCAGAGAGATCACCGACGAGGAGGCCTCGCAACAGGGCAAGTTCAAAATGTCGACGAAAGAAAAGTGGCGGATCCTCAAAAACGTTTCAGCCATCTCGTGCGCGTTCATGATCCAATTCACAGCCTTTCAGGTAAGTCTTCTCGAAAAGCGCCCCCACCCGGTTGTCCGGTAGTATTTTTTTATTGCTAATTCCCTTTTTCAAGGTACATTAATGGTGTCCAAGGTTCCGCTTTAATTAGAATGCTTATAATTTCTTTCTTTAAGATGTTTATGCCGGGTGCCCCAGAAACCGCAACGAGGTAGCGTCCGTATTGGGAAAACGAATGTTCCTTGAAATTTGAAAAAAAAAATAAGTCTGCAAATTTTCTTCTATTAAGGATACTTCGAGTGAACACTGTTTCAAAGCTGAGACAAAATCAAATCTTCTTTGTTGAAATAATATAAAATTAAAAAGATCAAACGTGCTATGAGTGAGACAATTGCGATTGAGTACCCTTCCACCAGTTGGCGTTTTCTGACAAAATGACAGAATAAATAATTTTCTGACATCAGATATTCAACCAAGAGTCCAATAACCAAATCGGCATCTCAATATCTTTATCGTAACCCAAAGTATGAATAAAAGAGTTGAAAACTCAAAACTCAAAACTATAGACTACGTTGGATAGTAAACGGCATTTGACTCACGAGTTTATTTGACAGGAGCGGAGCGCAGCGGACCGAGTGTTTAATAAATGAGTGACTTAAAAAGTTTACCGAATGTGTTGCATACTATACTTTTTCTACGACCGTTAGTTTTTGGGTACATTTTCACAAAACATCACAAATACATTCACTGACGTCAGAATTGACAAACGTCAAAATTCAAGGCGTGGAAAATATCTCCGAAAACATCCGATTGCTCCCAAACCCGTGCGGTAAAATCCCGGAAATGTTCGAACTGGCTCGGATCCGTAGGAAACGAAACTAACATGGTAAAGTGACGCTTCCCGCACCCTAGATGGTAAGCGGCTTTTGAATCACGAGTTTATTTGGCGCGAGCGGAGCGTAATGGGTATTTTACAAAAGATGTTATTATAATAGTTTGCTTTTAGAGTCTTCCGTAAAATTTGACAAATTATAAAATAGACCTATCTGACAGAACACTGTCGTTATTCTTCGTTTTAAATAGTCAGAGTTTAAATATATCCAACCGTTAAGTTTTCTTACTGTGATTAATTGATACTTTATTCCATTAAAAATGTCTTATTAGATTGCCGAAGTAAATGTTTGCGCGAAACTTTTAAGCTTAAGAAGAATACCTTTGAATTCAGATATTAGTATAACATCGATACACCGAATTCAAAAGTTTATTGGTCGCCAGTGAATCCTCGTTGGATACGTGAAGTGATTTATCAAAATCGGTGGAGTGGAGCGGTATATTTTGGGTAATCGTCTTATAGAACCATTTTTTGTTAATGGTAAAGTTAATGGCCAAATTTATTTAAATTTTTTAAGAAATGAATTTTCGATTTTATTTGAAAACATTACTTTACAAACAAGGATTGTTAGTGAAGTTAGGATTTTTTTAGACTAGGTTTATCCAAACCGTTGGATAGGCCACGGAAACAAAGTGCCCCTTACTTTGTTTCCGTGGCCTGTCAGATCTCCACACCTTACTGTTCTGGATTTATACCTTTAGGTAGAATACAAGTTGCCGTTTATCAAACTAACCATACAATCCCTGAACATATGGTGTATAGTATCTGAAATGCTGTAGCTAACATTTCAAGATCTGAAATTAGTACAATACGGGAGGCACTTTGAACATTTGATTTTCCTTTCCACCAATTTTAATGTGTTTTATTATTTATTATAATATCTGATGTTATTTGACTATCTCATGATATAAAAACATTCATATGGTTGTATACTCAATGGCAATCACCTCGCTCATAGCACGTTTGATACTCTATGGAAGGCCTTGTCTCGGCTTTAAAATAGTGTTTACTCTACGTATCATTGATAAAGGAAAATTTTGCATATAACGGGTTTTAAAATTTAAGGTCGCGATTACCACTGTGATGGTCATTTCAGAACTTCAAAAATAATTTCTTTTCTTTTAATAACACCCGTTTCCCCAATATCTACAGGCCCTCATTGCATTTACCGGGAGAGACACCCAGTACTTTTTACAATTCTAGGAAAACTGAAAGTCAGTGTGACTCACTATATTTTAAAAAGTGCATCACACTCTTCTGTAATTAACACATTGAACTGTTTAAACTTTCCTTTTTTAAAAACTGGTAAAACTGTAGCAAGCTTTAGTTGTTCTGGGAAAATGCCGTACTTTACTGAAATATTAATAATAAAGACCATAGGTTTAACAATTGCAACTAGTAGAAATTTCAAAAGATTACTGGACACTTAATCATTCCGGACAAATTGTTTTGTTATTTCACTGTCGACAGTGTTCATACAATTTTTTACCTGTTTAAACTAAATTTCTTCATTTACAGGGAACGGCCAATCTTCAAAGCAGTATTAACGCCAAAGACGGTCTGGGAACATTGTCCCTCAGCTCGATATTCGCAGCTCTTGTAGTCAGTTGTATATTTGTACCCTCGTTCTTAATCAAACGGCTCACGGTCAAGTGGACGCTATGCGTCTCGATGCTCTGCTACGCCCCTTACATCGCGGCACAATTCTACCCCAAATTCTACTCCTTGATACCGACCGGGATACTCGTGGGTATCGGGGCGGCGCCCATGTGGGCATCGAAAGCAACTTACCTGACGCAAGCGGCCAGCGTTTACGCGAAGCTGACCGATCAGCCCGTAGACGCCATCATCGTCAGGTTCTTCGGGTTCTTCTTTTTGGCGTGGCAGACGGCCGAGTTGTGGGGAAATCTGATCTCTTCACTTGGTAAGTAACGGCCGTAAATGAAAGATGTACATAGATGGTCATGTGCGATAGAAGCAAATTATGTGCTTGTCACGTGATTGTTTATAGATAGACTTGAAAACTTAGCCTGTACTTGGGAAACCGCAATTTCTCAATAACTTTTACGCAATATATTTAATAAAATATCTAGCATCTTCCACAGTTATATGAGTTAGCAATTTCACGTTATGATATAGTGGTTTTATTCTTTATAAGGACCAATAAAAAAGGTTATCCGTTACATTCATTTACTTAAAAAATAAATACCATAAATAATTGGTCTAAAGCAAATTCGCGATGTTTTACAATAATTGGAAAGATTTGTCATAATACAAGTACTTAAATAATATAATATATTTCTTTTACTTTTGGGTTCTTAATTTTAAACGCCGAAGATGATTAAAATACATGTTAAAACCCCTCACTAATTTCAGGAAGTGGCGTAATTCATATACTTTTGCTAAAAAATTGTTTACAGATTTAATTACAATTAATAGTATATTATGCAACAAGTGCCGTAAACGGCATTTGACTCACGAGTTTATTTGCGCAGCGGAGCGAATCTTTAATAAATGAGTGCGTTAATATATATATATATATATATATATATATATATATATATATATATATATATATATATATATATATATATATATATATATATATATATATATATATATATATATATATATATATATATATACTTTTTGTACGACCGTTAGTTTTTGGGTACATTTTCGCAAAACAATCCGTGCGGTAAAATCCCGAAAACGTTCGAAGTGGCTCGCATTCATGGGAAACGAAACTGACGTGGTAAAGTGACGCTTCCCGCGCGCTAGATCGAAATTGAAGCACATTTTTATATACTGCTTGCGGAACTGTTGTTACATTTCAAAAACTTCTAGAGATCTCTTATGTAAAATTGTATAATTTGATATACGTCACTTCCTGAAAGTAAAGATCAAGCAATTTACTAAAACGCTGTTACGAATTGTGGCATAGATAATCTGTGCGTAAAAATTTATCGGATATAGAATCGGCGTGGTGTCTGAATATTTAAACCTGAGGTCTATTTCCGTACTGCATTTTCAGAGAGTTTTCGTTATTCAAGAGACTCATCCGAACTGTGAATAAAATAAACTACCTAGAGTACAAGAGTACAAGAGTTTTTGAAAAATAAGACATATTTACTGTTTTTGCCTGATACATTTTGAGGGTCTATAATTTATTTATAAAAACAAAGCCACATTTTTCTTTATTTCTCCGATGCATCGATTGGCGCTTACAGATACAAAATCATTCTCCTAACAAACACAATAATATAGGAAAAATATTTAATTACACATATAAACTGCAACAGAGTAGAATATATTTACACTCTCATCCAAATAGATTAAAATATTTTTTTAAGCATTTAGCAGTTTCGTGCTTCAATTATACATAAAGCCGAACCTTTCCAGACAGTTTATAGAAGGGCAATTCTTTCCTGGCATACCATACAGGGCGTTTTAAAGATAAGATTTTGTACGGCAGTTTTAGAAACTTGATTTATGAGTTTTTTTTGTAAATAGTACCCACTTTATTTTCTTTTAATTTCGAATAATTGAAAAGAGACTATCCCAATTGGAAATAAAAATTATTTTTCATAATTTTTACATGCACACCATCATTTCGAAGAATATTTCGCACATAGACGGAACAAACTTCGTTTTCAATTTCAAACTTTCAATACTTTAATTATAATATTCTATTAAAATCTGTGGTCATGTTCTTCTGTCTTGATTGATGGAAATGGGGGGGTTTTACGAAGTTCATTCTGTAGATCTGCGAAACTTTTTTCGAAATGACAGTGTTCAATGTGTTCAAAAAATTAATTGTTATTTCAAAAACGGTAAGAGATGAGTATAGGCAAGCTTCAACAATATTGGGTTAGTTTCTATCATGGAAAACGAAAGTGGAAGAATGTACAGGCTGTGCTATTCAAAAACTCAATCAAACGTGTTTGTAGAACACCGTTACAAATTATTATTTTTAAATCACCCTGTGTAATCTATATGAAATTGTATGCCACGAATGAATCCCTTCCCCTTCCAAGAACTGTCTGCAAAAGTTGGACTTTCTGTTCAATTAAAGTACGGAACTGTTATGATTTCTTCAAGGTTCACATTATTTAAAAATCTAGGAAACCTGAACAAAATTTACTTTATTTTGTGCGTAAATATATATATATATATATATATATATATATATATATATATATATATATATATATATATATATATATATATATATATATATATATATATATATATATATATATATATATATATATATATATATATATATATATATATATATATATATATATATATATATATATATATATGCCTACTTCAAAATATTTTAGAGAGATAGAGCATCTCCTCTTATATCACTCTGTATAATTTGAACTAAATCCGTTAATCCGTTCACCAAATCCTTCTATAGCACATTTTATGAAGAAAAAAATGAAACTTTAAATCAATTATCATCAATGGGTAACATTCATGACAGGATGGTGATTTGTTTTTCTTGTCGTTTGCTGCGGCGCTAGGGATAAGCGGTTGTAGTGCAAGCCACAATAAATTTGTTCTTCAGTTTAACATAATCATCTGTTTCTTTTTGGTGGCGGTTTTACGTCGACCTTGACGACTCGGCGCCGGTTTGATACACCTATGATATTCCCACACATTAATTTATTGAAAACGCGCATCCTTGACATGAAATATGAAATTTCTGCAAATAACACCGACGCGATACGTTCTCGCGGGTAATTTGTTCCGTTCGACGGGTTGCGTAAAAATATTTTCACTCTAAATATACGCCGGGTTCATTTTTTATTCAAATTTACTTAATCTGAATTAATAATTTGTTTTCGAGATTCGTTTGTTTATTCTGGGTCGAGGACGGGTGTAGTTGGCCCGAGAAGAAGACGCTGAATCTTCATTTGAAGCAAACAAAAATATCCGCTTGTCGTCATCTTCAGTTTATATTGCGTATGTTTACAATAGTCTAATAACCCAATTACATGGCAAGGTGCATAGGGTAAACCTGCTAACAAATTTCATAAAGACTTAATTCACTTATGGTTTTGAAATATTATGCTTTTTATGTATACAGAGTGGTTATAATTTCGTGGACATTATTATTTATTTATTATTTTATTTATTTTAAATGACACACTCCGTTTACCAATGCAGGTTAAAATTCCTCGAAACTTTCTAGACATATTTAAATCTTACCGTTTTCGATATATGTTTTATGACAAAAATGACGTTTGCATATATATTTCGATTTCTCCGACTGAATGCCTTTTTTATATATTGGGAGTGGATTTCTTTGTTGAAGAGGATCTTTTTTAGTGGTCTGCATTGATATTTTCAAAATAAATTAATGCGGGGGAGCAATAATTAATATTAAAAATTGAAATAGAAAAATCGTTAAAAGTCACTTTATTCAAATCCAGAATGTTGTCGTATTTAGCACTAAAATAATGAGTGACTTTGTATAGGATTCTCTATTTTAAGAATGAAGCAATGAAATGAAATGAAATGTTGCAATTCCTGGAAGTAGTCTTAAAAAACATCAGTATTCATATTTTCATGTCGGTCTTCTGTCCATTTTCATTGACAAATTCGTTTTTGTTGAAAATTACCTTTTCGCGAGGGTCTATTATTCCCACCAACGGAATATTTCAAGTTTCAGTTCAGTCCAGATAATAGATATTCCTGTTTTCATTCGAAACTGTCTGATTTCCTTGAAAGTTTTCCAAAATTTCCTCTTACCCATGGATGGAATGAAATCATCGTCCTATTGCTTTTTTAAGTAAAACCAATGTATTATTCTTTTGATGCCAGTCTTCTTATCATCATTCATTACTGTTTCATTTTTTCGTGTACTTCTCTTTGGTGGCCTCATTTATGCTCGTGAACAAGTCGGTCTATTATTTATATCGTTTGTTATATTTTTCTATAATTTTCTCACTTTTTGAAAGCGCAGTTTTACTAATTCGTTTCTTAGCAACAGATTCAAAAACACTAGACATTTGCAAGGACTTTTCCAACAACTGACAGAAATTAACTATAGTTCTAATTTTAAACACTAAGGCAGAGGTAGGTCAACCAACTGGTCCGTCTACCTGCCACTCTCGGAATCCTTGACAATTGTCATATTTACAGTACTGCGGAATATGGCTAAGACCAGTAAGTTTTCGTTAGTTTTGATTACTTTAAGGAGCAGATCATTATATTCCAGTTTAAAAATCCTATCAAGTTCTTATGTTTTACTATTCGTTGACTAATATGTTGATGACAGCGCAACAGAGACGTCACTATTTTGACTTGCTTAGAGTTTATGAGTCAATATTCAACAGTTTTGTGCTACTATTTTTTGTTTTGTCATCCTATTCCTTTTGACATTTTGTTGACATTTTGAATTTACTGTTATTGTCGATTTAATTTTATTAAAATACTAAAGTTACTAGCTTTTTCGTCTAAGGTATACCAAGCCGATATGCTATAATGATATTGGGCAAATAATAAAAGCTCATTACGGAATTACGTTAACAAATACCATTTAAGACGTCATCCACTTTTTTTATTATTGTTTATTGCCGTTTCTTATATATCTGAATATTGTCCAGCAGTTTTTTCCATTCCTCTAACGGAATAAATTTAAATTAGTAGAAAAATTAAAAAATTAATACAAAAATTCATGCGACAGCAAATACTATGTGCCATTTATATCGGGTTCAATTGTTTTTTATTCTGCCATGTTTCGCCGTAATCTTTTTGACTAATTAATAGACGTATACCACTTTTACGAAGCAAAGATATTTTATTACAAATACTTCTTTTGTAGTCTCGAACCTAAATATATACCAAAGGGTTTCAGTCGCAGAAATAGAGATATATTTAGACCTGAAAACGCTAGTTTTGACACAAAATTTTGAGGGCTACACCGCTCTCAAAAATCGGTACACTAAATCCAATTTTAGATAATTACACTCTTATTGGTATCTCTAATAGCCACTAATTCCACTACTACTTCCTCTATTATGCTCTAATTTTATATCAAATTTCCTTGGTGATTTCACTAATAGCAACTAATTCCAGCTGGTTTTCTTATAAAACTCTAAAAACTGTTATAAAAGCTAAGGTTTCTGATCCCCTTTATAAATATCTGTTGTGTTATAATAAAATCCTAAGCTGCAAAAAAATGTTAGTCGAGGTAGCTCATCCAGCAGAACCCTCCGAAGTACGCGTCCATCATATAAATAATTCACTCTATGTACAACAAAATTAAATCAATAATAGTACGTGTATCAAATCGACTAATGGTCCTTGTCTTCGAAATTATGCTTTATGTCTTAGCGCGTCTTTCCTAAATTCCTTCGGTTACAGTGTTAAGCAATCCCCATGGGGCGGGGTCAAGTTCCAACCACACCGATTATGACTCTTGCGGTGCCAACTTCTGTGTGTCTGCGATCGGGTCTAACGAGAACCTGGATAGACCTGCAGATTCGGAAATCTACGAAATCATGGGGATCTACCTCGCATGTATATTCATCGCGATCGCCCTGATCGTCTTTCTAGTGGATCCGCTTTCCCGGTAAGTTGAATTAGGTTATGCGATGTACGTTGGTTTTCGTCAGTAATTCCGTCATCCTAGATAAATATATATAAAAAACGTTTCATGAAGCATTATAGGGCGCCAAAGGGCGTTTTGACAAAGATCCAAAAACAGTGTTTATAACAAAATCTTTGACCCCAAGATTCACATTAGGCGAAGGTTAATACCATTCGATCTTAGGCACAATGCTCCACGTTTTAGTAAATTTTGGCAACACAGTATCTACTTTTGAACCGTTCTCCTTAAAAGAGAATGAAAATCTAAGGTCAAAACCAAAACTAATCAACACTAACAAAAAAAAGGCCTTTCTACGGAAACATTAGTCTCGACCAATGGACAACTTAAAGGCTAGATCCTGAAGTTTATATTAATTGCAATGAGAGTTTTAAGCTTTACACACCTTGAATCGTTTGTAAATTAGGGTCACACTCATTTGCACACAGTGGAAACACACATTAGAAAGTGGCCTTACTTCAGGTTTTTTAATAAAGTAATAAATATAATAATGGAATAGATGGAGATGGGCCTGTAAGTGATTAATTGAATTAATTATTCTAATATCAAGTAAATTAAAACTTATATAGAAGTAAGAATAATATGAAAATTGATAAATTGCAAAACATATTATTATTTTAAAGAATCTTCTATTTACAACATAACTTTGATAGTATTTTTTGTCATCATCTTCCGAGTAGTCGGATGTACTGTGGTCGTTGAAATCCAGGGAAATAATAAGGGACTCCACTTGCTTATTTTTAGCACTTCTGCATTTGTCACAGTATCCTGCGATAGAGCCACATCTCGAACGCGTTTAATCTTTTGGTGGTTGCTTCTGTCAAGGTCCAAGTTCCATACCTTAAAGTAGAACAAAAAAGATAGCAGAAAAGGAGACTTATTTTTGAATATAGTATATGGTTCTTGTGTAACTTGCGTACCCAGATACTTATTACCTTTTTCTGTTACTGAAACTTGCTAATCAACATATATTTAGTTTTATTGAAGTTTAAATTTAAGTCACATTCGATGCTGACTTCTGTTACCCTATTCATATGTAGCTGCAGTTCTTCTAATAATAATGGTATCAGTAGTGCATCGTAGCGTAGCATAATATTATTCACCAGTTTCCCATTTACAAATATTCCCGAATTCTGATTTTCAAGCGCCTTCTGTTCAGAGTGTATATTGACAACATAGGTCATAGTAGATAACCTTGTCTTAATCCGCGCTTTATTGACCCTTTTTCAATCGCCCAGAGCAGAGCCTTGGAGTAATCGATAAAGTAGACGAATACATCACAATTTACCGTTCTACATTTTTGAATCATGACTTGAGTACTGAATATGAAATGAATGAAATGAAGTCCCGAAATCCGGATATGTACTGTTCACACAACTTATATAATTTTTTATGAATAAGCTAAATAATTGATAAATGTGGATGAAAAATGCGGCAAATGCGTTGCTAGAGAACTTTTTAGTCTTTCATTTGCTTTATTGCTAGTCGGACTTCGTCCACGTTAAGCGAGGGCCCTGTTTTTTCCCTCAATTTTTCTAAATAATTTCTCCATATATTTGCGATTTCTACTCTTTCTAACTTTTTCTTTATTATAAGTAATTTTCTGTTTTAAGTTTTTCCATATAGAAAAAATCGAAAATGAAATTTTTCAGACATTATTTTGTCCAAGATAGGTACTTCTTAGTATATTATTAAATTAAATTTTCATCATTATTTATTACGGTGTCTTTTTTCCTATACGTCTTTTTGGTGATCTGATGAAGCCGAGCCCAACTCCAGTCATATTCACTTTTCAACCGTTTTCATGTTTCAACGACGCAGTTTTTTACTATGAATTTAACTTTGCCTTCAACTGGCGAAAACTAATCATAATTCTAATTTTAAAGACATGTCTATCTATCACTATCGGAACCCTCGACAATCCATCGTAGATGCAATACTATGTTTATGGAATACGGTTAATACCACAAACCTCGTTCTCCCGGGAAGGCGGTGTTATTTTAAGATTACGGAAAGCCAAAAGAAAAACGAAAACATGTTGATGTAATTATCGAGTCCCCTAATTCTATATTTAACAGACTTGTATTTAGAGAAATACGGTTTGTTTCGCCTGCACTGCGAGAGATCCGACGAGAATTCGAAAGGTACAAAAATAGGCATAACCCCATGCGGTCGCCGACCTCACTTTCAAATCCCGCAAATTCATTATGCCACAGCGCGGTTCAAATACAATTGGTTCTAGCCACGTTCAAATTCACGCGACGAATTCAATGGGTGTCCCACTGAGACGGTCTGCATTAATTGATGGGATTCCCAAAACAACATTTCAATTGATGATCACCGAATCGCGACCAAAGCATTTAATTGCTACCTGCTATCTCAAATTTGATTAAAAAAAAGCAGACATAACGTTTAGAATATATTTAAGGTCATCCCGCATTTGACTTTCGATATGGTATCATCCTTTTTATTATCATTTCCGATATCGTGATACTAAGAGATTAGTTTGGTTAGCAAGAACGATATTTGGAACCTGTGGAAGTACGGAATTTCCTTTTCGGAAAGTTGATGTGATGCTGAATGTGTGTTCGACAGAAGGGCATGTCTGTCGGAACAAATTTCACATTATAACGAACACATTTGTATACAAATAATATCAGGAACAGCTATAGAACATTATTAAGACATACTCATCGATAACTTCCGTCTGTAGAAAACTCATGCTCTCGTCTCACCTCAGTACTTCTCTGAACCATTTGCACAAATTAATTCTGTAATTGACCTTCTGCTACCTCTGTTAATGCCCCCTCCTCACATACTATTTACAAAACTTTTGGATTCCTCATGCGTCGTTTTTTGTTGAAAAAAAAATAAGAACTAAAAGTTCAGATTTTCACGAAATTATATATTTTGACAAGACAATTGTTTCGACAAGACAAGAAACGGTCTTTATCAAATGTGATAATCAAATGGATTTTCATCAAGTGAAACCCACCTCAGTTCAATGTTTGTTGTTGAGTCGAACTTGCTAACGTTTCGCCAATCATCCTGATGGCTTCTTCTTAATTCTAACTTAATAGAGCCTCCTCCTCACTTCAAATGCCCCGACAGGTATTTAAGATTTAGACAACCTCTGAAGAAACAAGATTCAAGTGGGTTGGACATTATAGAGCGTCCGGAATTAGGTGTATTTGATTTTATTACAAATTTGTTTTACACACTTTACACTTTACACAATTACACACGACCCAAAAACTAACGGTCGTAGAAAAAGTATAGAATGCAACACGTTCGGTAAATTTTATAAGTCACTCGTTTATTAAACACTCGCTCCGCTTGTGAGTCAAATACAGTTTACCGCACTTGTTGCATAATATATTAATGGAAATGTCTATTGCCTTGGAATAATTTTCCTAAGTGCATTATGCTACACAACTCTTCATTTCATAGCATCAGATTCGGTTGGGTCTTTTCATTTTGGTCTTTTCGTACACTTTTGTGGCCATTATTTTAAATCTGCAACTTAGGAATTATTACAGTATAAAAGTAATATAACTTTTCCACTGACTTGTAACTCCAACCTATCATATTGATAACTATACTTTGGAGAGGTTATTGAACTACAAATAATAGACTTGCAGTGATTGATTGTTAGAAATTGCATCCAAGCTTTTGTTTTTGTAATAGGAGTCGTTATTAGCGGATTCTAAAATGCCCCACTTTTCCAGGCTGCTTGAAGTTGGCTAGGATATATTCGATTTTTAAGAGTGATCCCACTTCCGATCATAATAAAAATTATCGTACGATTGCGATCCTTGCAACTTTTCAAGAGCTGATTTGTGCTTGTCTCGCTTGTCAGATCAAAATCGTTATTTCACCTGATCATGGTAAGGTAATATAATACTTCTAACTTAGTAGAGCTGCATATATTGCCAAATCTCGAAAGAGATGACTGTACTGCTAAATCTTCCGACCGCAAATTGAGTAAGACCACTTTGTTCAACTCTTAAACACTTGTGCTATTCGTAGCTTTCGTTTGTCCAACACATTGATAATCAAATCATCCTTTAAAATGGTTGGCTTATATTTTCTAGTGTTGCTATTAGACAGTATTTTTCATTGATTCCATAGTCTGGGTACCAATTTAACTATTCATATTCGACCTCTTGAGTATGTTTATGCAACTCGTAATATTTCTTGCTTTTAGACTAGATGGTGTATATCCAGAGAAAAATGTTGATATTAAAACATCAGGTTTGATATTCAAAATATAAAATTTTTATCAACTTATTTTTACATAAATCTTTGACTCTCCTAAATGAATTTCTAAGTTCAGAGGTTAATGATTTTCCGAACGAAGTTATACAGCTTGATTAGTCCACAGTGATATTTTTAATGATCTTTTAGGTTATTATTTATTACTGTTACTACTTGCTCTTATATTTTATATGCTGTTGTTTTGGTTTCCTTCTTTTTTTATATGTATGCTATTGAATTGATTTTTCATATATTGCTTTGTAACTGCTGAGCAATTAATATATTAATCAGATCGCAGTACCCTTTATTTTTCTGAAATATCAAATAATCTTCGAGTTCAATATTTTTAGATGTTAACTTTTATTGAAGTTATAGTGTATCCATTCCGGAAGCACAATATTTCTTCAATCTTCTTTCTAAACTGATTTAATTTGAAAGTCTTAAGTTGTGAATATGAGCAATTGTTCGTATGGCAGTGTAAAAGAGCCGTAAGTAGTGAAATTATATTGTTTGCTCCATAATAAGCCATTTTGCGTCACCCAATTCATAAGAGATACCGGTTGGTATATCACGATCTTGAACTGTACGGGTATTTATAATATTCATTAAAAATTGAAGACTATAAAGGAAGCAAGGGGTATATTTGTTGCGAAGCCATTCAATTCGAGGCTTTCGGGTAATCCGCCGCTCAGAGATTTATTTGCATT